GCGCCCATGGTGACGGTCTGAGCCGTGTTTCTCCAAAGATTGGATGGATCAAAGGCGTAGAGAAGCTGCGTGTCACAGTCTGTGAGCAGGTAAACTCCCGATCTGGACTCCGCGAGACGAGACACGAGGCCTAGCATCCTCCCACCTGATGAGGAGGTTCTGACTTACAGGCAGGACGGGAAGGTGCAGGCTAGGCTGGGTTAGGTGATTATATAGCCGTGCAATTTCTGATCTAGAAAATGACCCTGAGTGAGGGGGATCTTCTGGCTCTTTGAGCCACGGACCTCATTGCTGACTCCGAGCCCTTCCCCGGAAGAATGCGCATAAGCACCTACCTCTGCATAGGTGTTCTCTTCACCCTCCCTCACCCACTTCATCCTTGGATCTCTGCTTCCCGGGCTGCGGGGCTTAGACCCGGTTAAAAGCCATTCATTGCGTCTCTGTGCCCGTAGATCATTCTCTAGCTTTTTTAGGATTTGAAGATCTTCAAGGAACATCTGGATCTACCATATTACAGGGAGAGAAGTAGCAGAGAGGAAATGCAATAATTTGTTGATGTCCTACAAAGAATTAGTAATTGCAAAGAATATGTGTGTTTCCGGGCACAAAACTTGTTATAGTGTTTGGTTTTATTTAAGCTAAATTTCTCCAGATAACACTCTTGCATGTGTATTTAGTGGGAAAAAGGAAGAAGGTAGGTAGCATACACAAATCTCTTGTGTGCTCCAGTGTGTTTGTGCCCCTTATCCTATTCTTCTCTGTCCACACATGATTTCCATATGAGGTAGTTCCGTAAGCCTCCTCTGGCCACGTGTCATTGTTCTTAAACTTCGTGATAAATGAGTTTGGGATCAGGGCTGATTTTAAAGAGAGAAATTAAAGGAACCAGTGTGAAGAAAGAAAAGGACTAATTTGACAAAAAGTTCAGGATAAAAGCTATACTTGTCATAATGCATCTTATCCCTTGAGAGTGGACAAACAGTCTTGTAATTAAAGGGGCTCGTCTTGATGGAAGAGGGAGAGCCCATCAGGGTGGTGGCAGAGGTCTGTAGGTACTGGGAGAAGCCCAGAGCAGAGCCTAGGAAATCAGAGAAGGGAATAGATCAGAGCCCCAGAAAGCCATTTGCATGATTTCCACTCAGTTTCCAATGAACACTACTAGGCTTTCTACTACTTGATACATGTTGAATTTGCAATGTCTTCATTGACAGTCTCACTTTAGAGTCAATATATGCATTTTTTGTTTCAAAAAAAAAAAAAGAAAGCCCTGGTAACATAGTGCCTAAGGTATTGGAGCTGTTAACCATAGGTTGGAGGTTCAAACCCACCAGCTGCTCTGTGGAAGAAAGATGGGCCGTTTCCTCCTGAAAATATTTCCAGCCTTGAAACTTGGTGGAGGAGCTCTGTGAGAAGGGTTCATGTGATGCACGATGCCACCAGAACTCTTTAAATGGCTTATATTGTTCTTAGGTGCTGTGGAGTCAAGCACAACTCATAGTGACCTTATGAACAGCCAGCCTGGAATGCTATCATAGCCTCATTGTCCTTAACAGACCAGAGCCCACCGCTGAAGTCACCTTCTCTTTTTTTTTATTTTTTTTTATTTTTTTTTAAGTCACCTTCTCAATCTATCTCATTCTTCCCTTCCTTTGCTGACCCTCCATCTTTCCAAGCAGATGTCCTTTTCCAAGGAATAACCTCACCTCACTACATGTCCAAAGTATAAAAGACGCGGCTTTGACATCTTTGGCTCCAAGGAGCACTCTGGCTGCACCTTTTCCAAGACTTACCTGTGTGTTCTTTTGGCCGTCCATAACATATTCAGTACTCTTCTCCGACACAACTTAAAGGCTTCAATTCTTCTCTCGTCCTTATTCATTGTCTAGCTCTCTAGTGTGTAGCAGGTGATGAGAAGACCATGGCCTGAATCAGGTACACCTTAAGCTTGAAATTGACATCATTGCTCATCAAAGTTTTGGAGAAGTCCCTTACAGTGGACTTGTTCAGTGCAATATATCTCCTGATTTCCTGACTGCTGGCACCAATGATGTTGATTGTTGATCCAAGCAAGATGAAATCATTGACAGCTTCAGTCCTTATAGTTTACCCTAATATTGGTATCTACATCTGTATTCTTGAAAATACCAAACCTAAAAGGGAAAAAACCCCCAAAACCAATCCTAAATAATAGGATGCTCAGGTGTCCTAGTGGTAAGAAGCTGTGCTGTAATCCTGAATGCATGTGGTTCAAATCCACTAGCTGCTCTGCAGGAGAATGATGGGCAGTCTCCTCCTGTGGGATTTACTGTCTCCGAAAAGCTGCTGGAGCATCAACTATGAGTCATTTCTGGCTGAACAGCACACAACAACAAGAAGAATCCTAAATGATTAGATTTTTTTTTAAGTCTCTGACTTCACTCTCAAAGAAGCAAAGGCTGTTAAATTCAGTGAGAATTGGTATGTCAAGAACTTTGGCAGCCTGACTTGTAAAATGCCAACACTGTGATGCCATTTTTTCTGAGTGTGAAATCTACTTTTATTAGCCTATAATTAGCCCTCATGGCTACATCCATGATCTGGTGTCTTTGTAAAACAAGTCAGATCCTGGCAGATGTGGGAAGAAGCTGGAGCAAATCAAAGACTCAACAGCATAGGATGCCAGCTCTTCTCTTATTTCTCTCCTGGCTTGAAATGTCTGTTTTCGTCTGTTTCTTCACTGTAGCACATTGTGAGTGCTGTTACACGCAAAAAAAAAAAGGCAGAAAGTGGAGGCTATTTAGTCACAGATCTTAAATGTTTCATGAAATCTGTTCTCAGTCCTTTAAACAGAGGGAGAACTTGCAACTTCTTCAGTGAAGTCATTTCTGGAGTTAATCTATGGAGAAGACCAGTGGAACATTAACAAAGAATTTTTAATTGTAAATGACTTTTCTGCTGGATCTCAACTTAATACTTAGGCCCTGAAAAATTACCTGATGTTTAGTTTCATTTCTGGGGCTCAGTTGTCATTAAAAAGGCCTTCCTGACCTTTTTAGTGTCCCCTCTTGATCCTCTTATTCTGCTTGATGGCCTACATAGTATTCACTTACCCCTGCTACATGCTATAGATTTGTACTGTCTTTTTCTGATTAGGATATAAGGCACTTTATCGGGGATCCAGCCCCCGATATGTCGGGAGAATTCCGCCAAAAGGAGGCACCAGGTTGAAATGAAGATGCGGAGGGGCTAATTGCTGATGACAAATAGCAAGTTTAATATTCTGGCGAGGGTATATGTATGTCTTAGGAACATGCCTGCAGGGGTAATTGCATTATCTCTTATCTGTCCGAGATGTAGACCAAACATTCCCAGACCTCAACACAAAGACATCTTCTGGGATATCCTATGATATCTATTGGAAAACAAGAAGATATCACATTCCTAGAAATCTGAGGCCTTTGGTCACTCCTTATTCGTTAGCATACTGCTTCCTGGAGTTGTTTACTGTAGAACAGATGTCAAGCCAAGATAGGTGGTCCTGCTGTTTTTACTATGCATTGCTGATCCTGCTTTGCAGGTTAGCCGGCTCCTGACTGCACTTTGTTTCTTTTATGTCCCCATTGTTGAGTACAGTGTATGGACCTAGTGTTGAGTCAACTGCAACTCATAGTGACCCTGGGCAGAATAGCTCTGAACACTGCCCTATGCTGAGCCGGTCTCACTGTCTCTGACACACTTTCCCCCATTTCCCCAGTTACTGTGTCAATCCAAGGAGCAACTTGGTTTTACCTTCTCCAGGACTATCTTTTGTTTGTTCTCTTGGCAGCCCATAATATGTACAATACTTCTCAAGCACCACAACTCAAGGGCATTGATTCTTCTGTCATCCTTTTTCATTGTCCAGCTCTCTGATGCACAGCAAGTAATAGCAAAGAACATCACCTGGATCAGCCGTACTTGGTCTCTAGGCTGATGTTGTTGCTCTTCAGCACTCTGGAAAGAGCCCTGACATCCAATTTTTCTAATGTAGTTCGTCTTTTGATTTACTAGCTTCTGGTGCCAAGAGTGTTGATTGTGGATTTAAGCAAGGTGAAATTGTAACAACTCAATCTTTTCTCTATTTATCATGATGCTGCCAATTGGCTCGGTGATAAGAGTCTTTATTTTCTTGATGTTGAGCTTTAAGCCATTTGAAGACTGTGGTCCTTGACCTTCTGCAACAGAGGGCTTGAGAACAGCAACTATTGTGAGGATGGTGCAGGAGGACCGCAGTGTTTCATTGTACTGCCCATCGGTCTTCTGTGCATCAGAACCAACTCCATGGCACCCAACAACACGGCATGTATGATCAATGCTAATAATGACAAAGTCTGTAGTCCTCCTGGGAGACCGTCTTATGTTTGAGCCTGAGGTCTTCAAGCTTTTCTGAGGCCTGAAGAGGTGAAATATGAAATCTACTGGACAGATCCTAAAACACACTCATTGCTGTCGAGTCGGAACCGCCTTCTTGCCTGCCCTCCAGCAGGTTTGCAGAGGCTGTAAATCACACGTGAGCAGATGGCCCATATTTCTCCAGTGAAGCCTCTGGTGGGTTCAAACGACCAAAGAGGTGCCAATTAGGGTTGGCAGCCCAGCTCTCTACACACTAAACCACATAGGCTGGTCTAAAGGGAAAGGGGAGAGGGAGTGGCAGGCCCTCTGGAACAACCCAGGGAGGTTGTGGCAGGAGCGGAGTGCCTAGTGGCCTTCCCCTGTTCCTCCACTCTGTGTCTTTTGTGTGCCTGGTATGTTAGCAACATAGATCACTTTTATATTTATCATTAGAATATTTGTATTTAGGACAATATAACTTGTAAAATATTCTTTTCAGGAAGGACAGCATTAAAGGGTAAGAGGAAAGCACGTTAGTGGACAGAGTGCTGGGGCTGTGCCGAGTGGGAGGCCCAGCACTCAGAGGTTTTGGGGCAGCTTTTAAGCTCGCTGTTTGCCCTGTCTTTCAGGACCTTCCTTCATTCTGAAGAATGGCTTCCGCTCGGCAGAAACTTGGTTTGTGTGCCTCTCTTTTAAAAAGACAGCTAATCAGTCAGCCAGATGTCATCATGTGGAAAAGAAGAGTGGTTCTAGGATGTACCAGAAGTATTTACAGTGCCACGGGGCAGTGGACCAAAGAGTACACCTTGCAGACAAGAAAGGATGTGGAGAAATGGTGGCATCAACGAATCAAAGAGCAAGTCTCCAAAGTGTCAGATGCTGATGTGAGTATTTGGTGAGCATGTGAGGTGTGAAGGGCGAGGACTGGCTGGACTGACTGTCAGAGGTCAGATACGTATTAAGTATGTGACCTTGAACCAAATTATGGAGTCTCTTAGTTTTCTTACTGAAAGGGGAGGACAGTAATGTTAGTGTCCAACAATTTCTTGGCATAACCATGAAGGGCAAGTGAGGCAGGCAAGAGTAGTGTTGAGAAGCTTTTTCCATGAGGTTGCTATGCTTATGGCCCTGTTGTGCATGGGAACTGAATGACAGAGTGTCCACACCAGGTATTCTGGGACACCGTTTACTAGGCAGAACTTACCAGTAGGAGCAATGACAGGTAGGGCTGCACTCAGGCATCCAGCACACCAGCTGTGGAACTTTTAAACTATAGTTCTAGGAAGTACTTCCCCCTTCCCTGTATGACCTTGGCCTCCAACCTTATTCTGATCTGTCAGCATTGTGGTATAGAGTGTAGCAAGCCTCTCCATTTGTGTGTTTGGATTCTGAGATCTGGTCCCGATGTTTCAGCTGAGCACTGTCCCCAGATGAACTCTTTTAGGTGCCTGTCTCTAGCCAGTCTCTATGGGGGGCTCTTCTCTGCAGAATGCCACCTCTCTCCTTCTATGGGTGACGAGCCTGTTGTGTAAAGGACTTAGACACTTGAACCCTTTCCTCTTGATGTTGGTCAGCATAACAAATGGATGATGTCCCTTGTTCGATTGAATGTTTGAATCTGATCAGAGCAGAGCACTATAAGATAGGACTTGATGTAAAATTTTATTTTCTCCAATAGTTACTAGTCAAATAATACAGACCTTTAGGTTTAAAGAGATTAGGCCAAAGACAAGCAGTTTGTGAATTGTTGTTGTTGTTGTTATGTGCCATCGAGTCATTTGCGACTCATAGCGACCCTATGTACAAGAGCTCTAAACGCTGTTCTATCTTGTGCTAACCTAGCCATCTGGAACACACTTATTCCCACCACTCCAGTCACAGAATTGATCCATCTCACCGCCCTTCCACTCTGCCAAACATGATGTCCCTCTCCAAGTACCAGTCCCTCCTTGCAACATGCCCAAAGTATGTCAGATGGAGCTTCAGTATCCTTGACTCCAAGGAGCAGCCCAGCTTCACCTTCTCCAGGACAAACCTGTTTGTTCTCCTAGCAGTCCATGGTATATTCAACACTCTTCTCCAGCTCCACAGCTCAAAGGCATCAATTATCTTTCTATCAACCCTATTCACTGTCCAACTCTCTGATGCGTAGCACATAATTGTGAATATAACCTTATAAAATTCTGTTTCAGGTTAGTTTCCGTCAAGTTAACATCCGCTTCTGTTAACTCTACCTGTTCAGGTTAGAATTCTGTTCAATGAGTTTTTAAGGCTATGACTGCTTGGAAGCCAGGCCTGTCTTCAGAGGTACTTTTGGGTAGATTTGAGCTGTTAACCTTTTGGTTAGTAATCCAGACTTAGCCATTTGTTCCACCCACTTCACCATTATTTCTCTCCCTGCCATCTGATTCTCTCTGTTGTCAGATGCCTATAAGATTGAGCCTTATAAAAAAAATGTTAAGAGGCTGTTTGTGTTAAACAGAAGGATGATTTTTGGCATTGGTTAAGGGAGAAAAATCTGGTATTGAGACAGAGTATAAAAACAAGTAAAATAAGTTTAAGTTTGAAAGTAATTTATAATTGTACAATAAAAGCTGCCTCATTACAAAGTAAAAATCTTTCATGTCAGTTTGACCAATTTAATTTACTTAAATTTAGTTTGGAAACAAACTCCAGAGCAAATTAATTCTGAGTGACGAGAGTAAAAGAGAAAAACTTCCCTTTCTCTTTTTCTTAAATTGTAGTTTATAGGTTGTTGTTGTTATGTGCCACTAAGTTGACTGTGACTAACATCATCGACCCTGTAAATATAATGGCACTGAACCTCTCACCCTGTCCTGACCCAACCTCACCATCTCTGACGCACACATTGCCACAGTCACTGTGTCAATCCATCTCATCGAGAGCCTTCCTCTTTTGTGCCAACCTGATACCCTTCCAAGCATGATGTCCTTCTCCAAGGACTTGCCCCTCCTGGTGACATGTCCACATTACGTGAGTTTTGTGACTTCCAAATATTTTTAAATTGTAGCTCTCTGATTTTTTTGATGTTTTAATCTTCCTAAGTATATTGGTTTTGGTTTTAATTACCAAATAATATAAAGAAAGTATGCTTTGCTATTTGGAAAGGAGTTTACAAGTTACTATGTGTGACTGGGAAGGTGGCGTAGTGGAGAACATTTTAGAGGAATTTGGAGATGTGAATGTCAGTCTAGCAATGCTGTAAGAAATCAGTTCAATCTCGGTTATATCATTTCTCTTGATTCTGAGGCTTTCTGTTGTAAGGTAAGTCTCTGCATTGTTGATCTTACAGAATTGTTTTGAAAATCCAATGAGAAAATGGCTGGAGACATTTTACAACAAACTGAAGTGTTCTAGAAAGAAAAGGCACCTGTGGTGTGTCTGTATTAGGAGGTGAGAATGTGACTCAGTGCTGGCAGATACTGAAGCCTTTATAACTGCCCTCCTTCCGGTGTTAAACTAGTTGGTTTTGAGTTGATTCTGACTCCTGATAACCTCATTGTGTATAAAAGCAGTCTTGTGCTCTATAGGGATGGCTGGGTGGATCTGAACCTCTAACTTCCAATTGAGCAGCTGAATTCATTGATTCTCTGAATTTCCCAGGAACCCTCACTTAATGATTAAACACATTGCAGATCTACCCAGAGGAGTTGTGTTTTTTTTTTTAATTTATGTGTCTTGCCGTCAGCATCATTTGTCTTTTGTTGGGTGCTATGAGTTGATTCTGACTCTAGTGACCTCATTTGACAGGGTAAATCTGGCTTCCTTAGTTTTCACCTGCTGTTTTCAGGAGCAGATTGCTTAGTCTTTCCTCTCATGAAGCTGCTGGCTGGGCTTAAACAACCAAACTTGTAGTTAGCAGCTAAGAGTGTAACCATTACTCTACCAGAGCTCCCTATCAGACCCTAATTATCATTAGCAAAAGAACTTTTATTTGGTGTACATTTTGCTCCGTGTCAGATATCATCTTTCCACTTATTATCTTATTTAATCCTTAATACAACCCTGCAGAGGAGGAATTATTATTATTATTACTATTTTTCAATTTTAGGTGAGAAAACGAAAAGCTATGAGAAAGGTTATTTGCCAAGATCCCATCTACCATGAGCAGAACTGAAACCCAGATGCAATTGATTCCTGGGCTCCTTCTTTCACCCAAAGCCTCCTTGGGCCTCGCCTTTGAGTTTCACATTCTAGAGAGAGCCCAGAACTATAATAGAATTTGCCTATGGTCTTACAGCGATTGGCAAGCGAGGACCAGAACCAGAGCTCCGGATTCTCACTTAAGTGCTTTCTCTCTGTCTTCCTTTGGGCCCAGCGACATACAGCTTCAGAACGTAATTCAAGATACCATCTTTCCCCTAAAGTCATAAACTGACAAAAACAATAAGACCTACTTATAAAAACCTTCCCCCCTCCATCTCTTAACACACCTTAATTCCTTTTAAAGAATTAAATCTTTACCCTTTTTATATAATTATGAACATTTCCTTTTCAGTCTGATGCCTGCTCAGTTACAGCGTGAACTCAAATTCTTTCTCTCTTTTCCACCCCCACAAGCTAGAACTCACTTCATTGTCACCAAGAGAAATGACTTAATTCACAGAAAAGCAAAGGCTGGGGCCCGCAGGAAAGTCCAGTACCATTTCCTAAACAAACAGGAATTTTCATGAATATTAATGACTTTTGCTAGCAGTGTTTTTTTCTGTGTATCTCTATAAACTCTGTTTTGGAGTTCAGCCTAGAGCGTATGTATTTGATTTTGCTATTATTAATTTTATCTTTATTGGAGCAAGCATACCAAAAGGAGACTCTAATAAAGAAGCTATACTGGAAAATAGAGACAAGACTGATTGTTAAATAAACATAATATAAAAAAAAGCCCCAGTAATAAAAACAAGGTGATCATAAAAGTTCTTTTACTTAGAAAACTTTAAAATAAGAAACAAGGAATAGCCTGTCTCAGCATTCTTACTGCTTTTTCAGCCCTCAAAGAGCTTTCTAGCAGCCATTTCCCCATTCCTCTAAAAATTACCAAGGAAAAGGAAATAGGCTAAATCTATAGCAAAAAGGATAGAGTTTAAGTAGATAAGTTCACTTTCTGAACTAAATAACCCTTTCATGACTGAGTTATTTTCTGCTCAGATTTTTTCAACTATTTCATGTGTTTTCATAAATGGAATGCATTCTGAATTATTGTATGTATCTGAAATTTTGGTAGGTAATTCTTTTTTGTTATGAAATACAGATTTTAGTACATATTAATGTGAGACATATATGTTCCTCTGGAAAAATAATGGGGGGGGAAATGGAGAGTTGGATTATGTGGGATACGTGTGTTTTTTGGACTCAGGGAAAATTATGTGGGACACTTGTGTCCCTCTGGACTCAAGAGGGGGTTAAGTGTAGCAGAACATGTATGTCCTGGACTCTGCACTTCGTTCAGGATCCTGTAAAAGTTGCAAACTGTATATGGCACCTAAAATCCATTTTTCATGTAAACATAGAATCCTTGTGAGAAATGCAACTTTCAAACAAATGTGTAAACCTGGAAATAGAAAGCTTAGCTCGCTGTACCAAAGCCAAAAGAGACAAGCTTCCTGCACAGTTACACTTGGTGGCCTCGAACTGTGTACCTTCAGGATTGCAACACACAGTCTTGCCATTAGGCCATTAGAGCTCTGTGGGAGGATAGGCAGTCACCTTCTGTGTGATTAACTGCCTCCGAAAACCCATGGGAGAGTCGGCTATGGGTTGGTTCTGACCCTATAGTGCACAGCAACTACTTAGCAAAAAATACAGGCTTCCACACAGCCCTGATAGAAAGGTTGTTACTATCCAGTTTTTAATTTGTTTTCATTATTTTGGGGGAAGCAGAACCTTAAAAAACACTATGAAGGTAAGAACGACAGAAAAAGAAAACATAAAAGAAGGTAGGAATAAAGAAAATAATTGCAGATTGGAGTCGTACAAACAATTAAGTTAGCTGCTAACTTAAAAGTTGGAATCCTTCTAGAGGTACCTAGGAAGAAAGGGCTGGTGATCTACTTCTGCATCATCAGGCCTTTGAAAACCCCATGGAGCACAATCCTGCCCTCACACATGAGTCACCATGAGTTGGAAATGCCTCAAAGGCAACTAGTCTTAGGGAACAGACATATAACCTGGTCAGGGTTAGCCGGCTTTGCTGGGTAAATACCTTTCAGTGGTAAGTAGCCCACAAGAACCTGTTACCGACTTTGGCAGCACAAAGTCCAACAAACATTTGTCCAGCATTCATTAAACCACCACCTGAGGGGGAAAAGATACACAGCGAGAGTCCTTGCATCGCAGGCCTCCTCCCCACACAGGATCAAATAACTACCACCTACCCTTTGAAGGCTGACCTCTCATGCATACCAATCATGACAACATTCCCAGTATTACCCGTGGAAGAACAAAAGTACTAACAGTCAGTGGTCCAATCAGGACTCTCTGCCCTGTGTTCAGATAGATGCGCAGTTTTTATTACAGTCCTCAAAACAAAGCTGCCGCAAGGGAAGCTGGAGAGTTGGATAATTCTGGCCTGAGGTCACCTATGTGTCATTCCTGGGAAGAAGCCAGCTTTGTCATATTAGTGGCTGAAATTTCCATCTTGAAAGGTAAGCTGTTAAAACAGCGAAGCTCGGAGCTTGACTGTTGCTGCATTCACGTCTGGTTGCAGCTAAAGAAAGTTGAGGAAAACGTTCCATTTTTAGAGATGTCACATCTGTGTGCTTCAACTTTTTCTCTTGAATTATATGCATATATGTGTTAAAATTTCACTTGGGAAAAAAATACAGTTCTTTTAGACCTTGCTAAAAACATTAAAGAACCTTTTTTTTCCCTCCAAAGAAGGGGGGAAAAATGAAAAGATTACAAATACTCTGACATGGTTTGGCATCATTTCAGACATTATTTTGCTTTAACCAGGGCTCAGAAGTTTGATTTATGACAATTTTGTCAGTTTACTTTATGGACGAAGTTTGTTTTGAGGGAACCTTTAAAATGTTAAATTGCTACCCTGAATAAAGTTTGAAAAATAGCATGTGTGCACAGGGTTCCGATTAAATGCTTACTGAGTCCTCTTTGGCATGTCATTCTTTCCTAGAAATCAAAGCCCAAGTTTTACGTGTTGTCCATGTTCCCGTATCCTTCCGGCAAGCTCCACATGGGCCATGTGCGGGTCTACACCATCAGTGACACCATCGCGCGGTTCCAGAAGATGAGAGGGATGCAGGTAAGGACACCTCCAGCTGGCACAGCACCAGTCTACCTGGCATGCGACAGCAGGAGTGTGCTAATATGTATTCAAAGGACAGATGAAGAAAACAGACGTTAGTTAAGATTAGGACAGCTTTGAAGATAAACATGAAAGACTCAGCATTTCCTTTTATGAATCAGGAAACATAATAAAGCGTTCACATCAGTTTGGGAGCTGCCCTTTGCTGGATAATGTGCCAGGGATTGGTGAGGGCGGAGTGAAAGGTAGATAGAAATAAGACAGCACATGGGCTCCGGCTAGGAGGAGTTCAGGGTCTGCTGGGGACAAAACACTTATAAATAGGTAATCATTGTACAGGGCAAAGGATGACTCTAGTAATACAAATATGGATCAAACAATGTGCATGAGATGGGAGGTCACAGAGATTTTCCTTATATTTTCCGATTCTGTCATGAATTCTGTCTTAGTTATCTAATGCTGCTATGACAGATGCCATGAGTGGATGGCTTTAACAAACAGCATTGTCTTCTCTTAAATTTAGGGGGCTACAAGTACAAATTCAGGTTGCCAACACTAGAAGGCCCTCTCTGGTGGCTCTGGAGGAAGGTCCTTCTTTCCTTTAGCATCTGTCGGCCTGATGTTTCTTGGTGATCTTCATGTGTCCTGGCTCTCAAGGAGCTGCCTCCCTCAGAGACCCAAGTCCAGAGGGACTCATTCCGTGCCTGGCAGTTCATTCCTGGTGGTGCTGAGGCCCCTCCCATTTCAGCACTTTCCTTCTCTTTTCTCTCTTTTGTTGCTTGTGTACTGTTGAGCCAGAGCTGATTCAAAGCTGCTCCTCCAGTGGGTTTTCAGAGGCTGTAAATTGCATGAGAGGAGATTGCTCATCTTTCTCCCACCAGAGAAGCTAGTGGATTTGAACTGCCTGCTTTCAGGTTGGCAGTGCAACTCTTCACCCACCAGGCTAACCAGAGCTCCTCAGTGAGCTGAAAGAGGCAACTTCCCTGAGTTGGAGCAGGGCTCGGTTGCATTCCACCCTTAATCCTCTTGCATCTGGGTTCTTTTATCAGATTATGGAGGATCATGACATAGTTTCTACGCTATATCATTGCAGATTTGTATTGGGAGGTGGGATTGGGGTGCAGAGGCATAAAATTCATTCCATGACAAAAGTATTTATTTTATAATGGGGAAGAAATTTAATAAGAAAAATATATTTGGGGAGAAATGAGAAAGGTTCTGTTAGTGAGAGAACACCTGATGTGGGTCTTGAAGGGTGTGAAATTTACAGGTAAATCACCTCCCCAAGGTTTAGTTCCCTGTCATCTGTAAAATAGGGATAAAACAGTAACTACCCCATTGGCCAGTTAGGAAATCAAAAGACCAATTGCGTAAGGAAAATCGGCTGTCAGGGACCTCTCAGGAGTGCTGAAGAACAATGACGTCAGTCTAGAGACCAAGGTTCGCCTGATCCAGGCCACGATCTTTACTCTTACTTGTTATGCATCAGAGAGCTGGACAGTGACTAAGGATGATAGAAGAAGAAATAATGCCTTTGAGTTGTGGGGCTGGAGGAGAGTATTGAACATTTTATGGACTGCCAAGAGAAAAACGGGTCTGTCCTAGAGAAGGTGAAACCACCTTGCTCCTTGGAGGCAAAGATTTTGAAACTCGGTCTCACATACTTTAGGCATGTTGCCTGGAGGCAACAGCACAGGAGAGGAAGACCCTAGATGAGATGGATTGATACAGTAACTGGGGTAATGAGGGTAGATGTGTCAGAAACAGTGAGATTAGCTCAGGATAGGGTTTCAGAGATGTTGTGCATAGGGTCACTATGATTTGTAGGCGACTCAAACACGCATACCAACAACAACTACAACATAACAACTGCATTGGCCAGTTAAAAGAAGAAGGTGACTATAATAAAGTGCGTTACATGTACCTATTATGTAGTGTATAAGCAGGAGTAGATAATTTGATAAGCAAAAATGAACATGTTTGATTTCTTAACTTCTATTTCCATGCACGTTGAGTATAGATCCAAATAAAATAACATCCCCGACAACGTCAGTCTTTTCTCCATTTATCATGATGTTTATTGGCTCACTTGTAGGGATTTGTTTTCTTTATGTTGAGATATCCATGTATAATCTTTGGTCTTCAGCAGTAAATGTTTCAAGTCTTCTTTACTTTCCACAAGCGAAGTCACACCATCCGCATTATCACAGATTGTTAGAGAAATTGCCAGTCCTGATGCTGAGTTCTTTCTATAGTCCATCTTTTTGGATTACTTACTCAGCATACAGATTGAAAAAGTATGATGAAAGGCGACACTCTGCACGCTGCTTCCTGATTATAAACCATAGCAGCATTGTCTTGTTTGATTTAAACAACTGCTTCTTAGTCAAGTCACTTTACATGGTAAAACACAGGTAATACATCCTCCTGGTAGTCTCTGTTTTCAACAAGATCCATCTGATCTGAGCAATCATCTCTCTTATTCCATGTCCTCTTCTGAATCTGGCCTGAATTTCTGGCAGTTCACTGTTAATATACTGCTGCAATGATTTTTAAATTATCTTTAGCATAATTTTACTTGTATATGATGTAGCTTCCCGACTAAATCAAGCCTGGAAGCAGGAGCGGCATCCACTTCCGAAATGGCTTGCCTCCGGAAACTCTATGTACGAACAGTGCTCAGGCTGTTCGTTCATAGGGTCGCTATGAGTTGTCTACGACTCGACGGCATTAAACAACAAAACAACATGATGTTAATAATATTGTGGGATAATTTCCACACATTCTGTTGGATTCTTTTTCATTGGAATGAGCACAAATATGAATCTTTTCAGGTGGTTGACCAAGTAGCCACTTTCTAAATTGTTTGACATAAACGGGTGAGCATGTCCAGACTTCAAGTGCTGTGTCTGGAGATCACTGAATGCTGTAAATAAGCCACCTCCCCGCAAACCCCCCAAGCCAGTTGAGAAACATTTACCAACACCTGACTAACTATTCCTGTTATTAACTTTTCAGGGTCTACATAAATATTTCTGCCACCTCCCAGTTTTTTGTAAATCTTTTCTCTTAGAAAGACAAGTGTATCAGTTACCCCAAAAATTTAAACTGAGTTTACATTGGCAACAAAAAGGATTTCTAAAAAGAACAAGTTGTAAGTATCTCTTTGGCACTTGTAGAGTTAATGACTTTCTATTACAAAATCCAGAGGCTGTCGTTTCTCCTTAGGATGGTTAAAGGTAAACCCTGATTTATGGCAGATGTTCTATTTCCCAGACATTACCTTCCATCATCACTGCTATGTTTATTAGAAAGAGGTGGTGCAGAATGACTTGGCTCTTTGCCTGAGTACAGTTCTTTATCTAACTGTGATTCTTAAACCAGATTTGTGTATTTTTCCCCACCTAATGCCACTCTGTTTTGGATAATTAGTACATGTAGACAAACCACTGAACATTAAACTAATACACTCAAACTATATTTATGATAGAGTTCAGGGAGGACTGTTGTTAGCAGATAGGTGTTTGGAGGGTGCAGGTGGGATTTCTAATGTCCTTAGCTACAACAGGATGCTACAGAGAAAGCTTGCGACCCAGCTCCAAGCCCAGAGGGTACTGAAGTGCTCGAATTCAACAGTCAATGTAGAGTCTCTCACTTGTGACTGAGTCTGTGGTCTGGGCAGGATTCTGGAATTGTACCATTTCTAGCTAAAGAACCCTATTCATGTCCTTTAATATCTCCAAATCGAATTCCACTTTCCTCATCTTTAAAAATAAAGATAACAGTATTTCTTTCCTCATAGAGTTGTTGCCAGAATTGGACAAGATATTTCGTGTGTCCGGAGCATAATAACCATTCCTTAATAAGTGGTGTCTGTAATCATTGTTTATACTGATCTGATTTGCCCAGGCTGCTCAGGAAAGCCACTCACCACCAAGTTAATCCCTGCTCTCCTCTCCCCAGAGCATGATGCATACAGTTACCGTTACTCTTTGAGAAGCAGCTTGACAGCAAATCATTGCCTGCAATCTCTTTCATAAATCCTGGGACTTGATTTGTGTGGTACGTGTGAAACCACTGTTTGTCATTTGATTTGCAGTATCTTGGCCTGTGTGATTAGGATGTGTCTTAGATTCTCTTATTCAATTTCTGTTGATCTGTTGAAGATACTAAGCTATCTTTTTTGGTTGTCCTCCAAGTTATTCTTAAATTAATTTCCTTAATCTTTAAGTCCCAGCATCCCACATATGTCAAACCAAGTGAATAACTGGTCCTGTAAGTGTCTGTCAATAGAGAGATAGAAAAATCTCTGTTTGTCAACAGTATGAAAACCTGCTGAGCTCCCTGTCATTTTAAAATCCTTCCTACCTACAATTAGGACTGGTCTCAGAAATGGACCAGAATTAGACTCAGGTCAAGTTCAGTGATTTTTACTTTTAGGAAGTAAGGACTAACTGATTGCACTGTCTGAGTCTGACATGAGTATTGATTAATTCAGTCAATAGTCATTGAACTCCGGCTTTATTCTACACACCGAGGTTTATGCTCTCGTAGATATACTGGAGCCTTAGATTAAAAATTGGGAAGTGAGAAAAATTCAGTAATTTTGCCTTTTTCTATAACTTATTTGTTGGTTTTGCTCTTGAATAGAGATATGTAGAGAAATCCCAAGGCACACTGAAAATAGCAGCATGAGAAGTAAAAGATAAGATGGCACAGAGTTGACTGTCCTCAAGATTGCCCGTGACTTCCGTGGAGCTCTGGCTTTCTCTTTCTCAGCCTCAACACCGTATCGTTTAGTGGACCACTTACTCCTCCTTGATACATCTTGCTCTCTTGGCCTGCCATCCACTACTAAATATTTTCTCCTGCATGGAGGTGCCATCTCACAGTTTACATTTTTTCCTTGTCCTCCTCCATCCCTACTAATTCTTTAGCAGGTTGAGAAAGCTCTTCTTTGTTCTTAATTTACTTAGAGTTTATGTCATGACTGAGTG